ATGTTCGAAAACAAGTCCTCGTTATTGTAAGAATGAAATATTCAGTTCCCCCACTGAAGTATGATATTTGAAGAAAATGTCTTGCCTCTTTTGAAGTACAAAACTTTTAAATTGCTGAATAAGAAACTTAGAGGCATGTCCATTGCACATCAACCTCTGATATAGAAGATAGCAGTTTTGCCTAAAACCCTCTACATTAGTGCAAATCTTGAGGTACCTGGAAAGCTGTGAAGATATCACATTTTTAATTATGTGCCGAGGAATATTACTGTTTTTAAAAGGCAATGAAAGAAAATCAAAATCAAAATCCCTTCTTTTGTCATAAATATTGATCTCTGCCTTCTCTGCTATATTTATGCTAATATTAAGGTCTAAGTAGTGCCCTGTTTTGAAAGGGGGCTCACCAGTTTTTTCGAGTGACGAACATCCTGGGTAGATGCTGTCGATCTCTGAAAAAATGACGGAGTTGTTAATTGCAATGAGATCATCAATGTATCTAAAAGTAAAGTTATATTCATCTGGGAAGAGAGCTTCGGACATAAACTTTGATTCAAAGTAAAAGAGGAATAAGTTTGCCAGGTTAGTGGAGTAATTAGAGCCCATTGGGATTCCAATTGTTTGCCTGTAAATTTCATTTCCAATTTGGATATAATTATTCTCCAGGCAGTTCTCTAGAACTACTTCGCTTTCTTTTCCTTTATAGCCTTCTTCCGCCTGGACCACCCCTTTTTCTGCCTGGCCTTTCACAATAGTTTCGAGATTCCTGTCGGGGTACTCGCGTGGGTGCTGGGCCGTGGCTGTTCAAGGGCTAGCCCCTCTGTCAGTGAATATCCATCTCATTATATACATGTATATATATATATATATATATGTCGTAGGGTTTTGTGGAATCCTCTCGAAATCCTCCTTTATGTCATCTCCCCCTAAGGGGATTCCAAATCACCCGGATTAGCTGTCGACGCTTCCATCATTATGTTTACTCCTAGAGAGAAAGAGAATCATAAAAAAATCTGGGGGAAATGGAATTTTATTTCGGATCATGTTTAGTAATAAAAAAATATACGTCAATAAGATTCGAAGCGGAGTCAATTAACAATAGACCCGTGTTATTTTGAGGGGTTTTCCCCATGACGGTTTTCCCCCATGACACTCGGATGTTAGTGGCAGGCAGAAGCAGGCGCGGCATTCTTAAGCCTTAAATAATCCGTCAACACAAACGAAAAGAGAATAACCCTCGGCCCTCGACATATACTTTCTCATATTGAAGGGGGATTCAACTGAGAGATTTACTATATTATTAATTAGTGCTACCTAATTAATCTTCATCTTAAGGGATGTCATTAATATCTTAACCACGCTTGCGTTGCGTCAACAGTGTTGCTTAAGAGGAAAATTTACCTGTGCCTAAGATAAACAAAGTATTCTCCGATTGGCTGAAGTCAGACTGTCCTGCAAAGAAAGCAAGGATTGGTGACGTAATACCTGGAATAGATCTGAGTCGCAACGGCAGTCCCCTCCCCTCTTCCTTGTGTTTTTTTTTTAAGCATTGTAATTAGTACAGGGCTGTAGATGAATGCGGCAGTCCCAGGGGAAAGGTCCCATGAAACGCTATCGCAAAGAAGGACTGAATGAGATGAGCAGCAGAATATGAACAGCTTTCTGAGGAAATCCGAAATTTGAATTCAAAACGAAATCTATTTAGCATGCGGTGTTTTATGCAGAAACGTTTTTGTCATGATTAATCATCTTTATTCGCGCCATTTGATTGCTAATTTATTATTCTGACACGCTATCCTGCCCCACTCCATTGAACTAAAATGATTAAACAAAAAATAATAAGTATCAGAATGTAAAAAAAAAAACTCTCCCAGCTCATGAGGTTAAGAAAAGGAGTAACGTGGGAACATCTACAGTCAACTGAGTAAAAATACACCCAGGTGATAATAAGCCATGAGGACAAGTGGGGAAGTTCACACGGTATGAGACAGTCGAGGCACACCCACGGCATTGTTCCGTCATCCAATTCCTTTCCAATGGCTCGTATGACTGCTAACCGGGATTCTGCTTCCCCTCGTTGCAATCCTTCCTCACTCTTTGTCGGAGTGGAGAATCCCTTTTACATAGCACTGAGGGTAGAGACGAAGCTACGATCCCATATTTCCCTAATACACGGAGCTACCGAGGGCATTTAAGACATGCAAACTACGATGATATCCGATGGAAGCGATGTAACAGCTCGACGCGTGCCAAGCTACACGAGTACGCATAATCATGCACCTGGCACATCACCATACAGTCCTTCGGTATCGAGATACGGAAAGGAGTGTGGTATTCTCCTATCGTCTCTACGAAGACAACTTAACCCTTTCATTGCGGAGTTATCTTAACCGTGCAGAGTAACCCGACGAGTATACTCGTCCGCAGCACGGAATGGGTTAACAGTGCCTTGAACATTTTCATGCAATGCTAGCTTCGCATTCAATACTGAATATGAGGAACACGCCGACAACATCGAAGAACTCTTCCACTTCCAGCAACACAATTCGATCATTTACCGAGCTCCGAGCGCCAGACGACCCAAAGGACCGAAGCCCCTGCAATTACAATGAAAGACCACATCCCAAAGCATTTGAGGAGAAATCGAGGCGAAGATGATATGAGCACCGTCTTCGTTGTAGCCCGTCAGCGACCCATACCCAGATGCATCATCTTCCTGTACCGACCCGGCCCGTCCCAGAATCCCCTGCAACCAGACCGAAAGCACATTCGAAAAGCGTATGGGTACCGAGACGGGGCATTCGAAGCGTGACGTCATACGTGAGAAGCGCCAGCCAGTAGAGATGCGGCATGAAATCCCTCTTAAGAAGGAACGGGAACCGTCTCGGGCTTCCTTGGTCCACCGGGAACGTCTCCAGCGGTTCCCCGTCGAAATCGAACTCGGCCAAGATGCACTTGTCGAACCCTAGAATCAACGCGCCGCTTTCGTTTCTGTATCGTATAAATCCGAAGAGACAGGTGCCAAGGTGACAGACTGACCGACGAGCAGCGGGCAGGAAGAATATCCGTCGTAGAGGGGTTTCAGAGGCTTCCCTTCCATTTGGAGGAACAGGTTCATCTTCAACACGCGCAACTGCTCGGCTGCAACAGACGAGGGAAAAATCGCGCACGAAATCGAACTGTCGGGGTTGAAGAAATGCGCATTCCACGCTCGAGAACGTAGGGCCACGAAAAAGCCTCACATATCGCGGCGGCCGTCTTCGCAGTAGGGATGTTGGTGCAATCTCCGACGCCGAAGATGTTCGGGTACTTTTTATGCTGGAGGGTGTTTTTATCCACGTCCAAGTACCCTTCCTGGTCCACCAACTTTTCGCACGTTCTCAGCACCTCTGGGGCGTACATCGGGGGGGTCACATGCAGCATCTCGTACTGAGACGTCGTTT